AAAACCAAACTACAAAAGGGGGAACTACTCAGGTATGAGGAACTTCCTGCAAGACATTCAGTGGGAGAGGGAACTGACAGGAAAACCAGTACAAGAAATGATGGACTATGTCGCAACAAAAATGCAAGGAGCAGAGGAGAGGTTTGTTCCCAAGGGAAACAGAAATAATGGGAAGAACAGAACGAGTCCTTGGTTCACCCAAAGGTGTAGGGAGGCAAAAACTAGGTGTACTAGAGAATGGAAAAAGTACAGAAGACAGAGAACTCAGGAAAATAAAGAGATTAGCCGAAGAGCCAGAAACGAATATGCACAGATAAGAAGGGAGGCTCAGCGACAATATGAAAATGACATAGCATCGAAAGTCAAGTCTGACCCGAAGCTGTTGTACAGCCACATCAGGAGGAAAATAACAGTCAAGGACCAGGTAATCAGACTGAGGAAGGGTGATGGGGAGTTCACAAGAAACGACAGGGAGGTATGTCAGGAGCTCAACACAAGATTTAAAGAGGTATTTACAGTGGAAACCAGTAGGACTCCAGGAAATCAGAACAGGGGGGTACACCAGCAAGTGCTGGATGAGGTACATATAACCAAGGAGGAGGTGAAGAAGCTGCTATGCGAACTTGAAACCTCAAAGGCGGTGGGACCAGACAACATCTCTCCGTTTGTCTTTAAAGAGGGAGCAGAGATACTGTGTGTGCCATTAACAAAGATCTTCAACACATCAATCGAAACTGGGCAACTCCCTGAGGTATGGAAGATGGAAAATGTAGTCCTAATTTTTAAAAAGGGAGACAGACATGAGGCACTGAACTACAGACTTGTATCACTAACGTGTATAGTATGCAAGGTCATGGAGAAGATCATCAGGAGGAGAGTGGTGGAGCACCTGGAAAGAAACAAGTGTATAATTGGCAACCAGCACGGTTTCAGGGAAGGAAAATCCTGTGTCACAAACCTACTGGAGTTTTATGACAAGGTGACAGAAGTAAGACAAGAGAGAGAGGGGTGGATCGAATGCATTTTTTTGGACTGCAAGAAGGCCTTCGACACAGTTCCTCACAAGACGTTACTGCAAAAGCTAGAGGATCAGGCACACATAACAGGAAAGGCACTGCAATGGATCAGAGAATACCTGACAGGGAGGCAACAACGACCCATGGTACGTGACGAGGTGTCAGAGTGGGCGCCTGTGACAAGCGGGGTTCCACAGCGGTCAGTCGTAGGACCTGTGCTGTTCTTGGTATATGTGAATGACATAACGGAAGGGATAGACTCAGAAGTGTCCTTGTTTACGGACGATGTGAAGTTAATGAGAAGAATCAAATCGGATGAGGATCAGGCAGGACTACAAAGAGACCTGGACAGGCTACAAGCCTGGTCCAGCAACTGGCTCCTTGAGTTTAACCCTGCCAAATGCAAAGTCATGAAGATTGGGGAAGGGCAAAGAAGACCGCAGACACAATATAGTTTAGATGGCCAAAGACTGCAAACCTCACTCAAGGAAAAACATCTGGGGGTGAGTATAACACCGAGCATATCTCCTAGGCGCACATCAATCAGATAACTGCTGCAGCATACGGGCGCCTGGCAAACCTACGGATAGCGTTCCGATACCTCAGTAAGGAGTCGTTCAAGACTCTGTATACCATTTACGTCAGGCCCATACTGGAGTATGCAGCACCAGTTTGGAATCCACACTAGTCAAGCACGTCAAGAAATTAGAGAAAGTGCAAAGGTTTGCAACAAGACTAGTCCCAGAGCTACGGGGATTGTCCTATGAAGAGAGGTTGATGGAAATCGGCCTGACGACACTGGAGGCCAGGAGGGTCAGGGGAGACATGATAACGACATATAAAATACTGCGCGGAATAGACGAGGTGGACAAAGACGGGATGTTCCAGAGAAGGGACACAGACACAAGAGGTCACAATTGGAAGTTGAAGACTCAGATGAATCAAAGGGATGTTAGGAAGTATTTCTTCAGTCATAGAGTAGTCAGGCCATGGAATAGCCTAGAAAGTGATGTGGTGGAGGCAGGAACCATACATAGTTTTAAGGCGAGGTATGATAGAGCTCATGGGGCAGGGAGAGAGAGGACCTAGTAGCAATCAGCGAAGAGGCGGGGCCAGGAGCTGTGACTCGACCCCTGCAACCACAAATAGGTGAGTACAAATAGGTGAGTACACACACACACACACACACACACACACACACACACACACACACACACACAGGGATGTTAGGAAGTATTTCTTCAGTCAGAGTTGTCAGGAAGTGGAACAATCTGGAGAGTGATGTAGTGGAGGCAGGATCTATACATAGCTTTAAGAAGAGGTATAATAAAGCTCAAGGAGCAAGGAGAGAGTGGACCTAGTGGCGACCTGTGAAGAGAAGGGGCCAGGAGCTATGAATCGACCCCTGCAATCACAAATAAGTACATTACAAAATAGTGCAGTAGATAGATATTAAACTCCGTTAACCAGCCTTAATGACCCTCATGTAGTAGACAGACTTTAAACCCCATTAACCACAATCACCACCATCAAAACTACCATCACGACTACCATCACTACCACCATCACGACTACCATCACTAGCACCATCACGACTACCATCACTACCACCATCACGACTACCACCATCACTACCACCATCACGACTACCATCACTACCACCATCACGACTACCACCACCACCACTACCACTACTACCAGTGTCCGGGAACTGACGATGTAATATTGATTATTAACAACTGTCTGCTGTGTGTGTGTGTGTGTGTGTGTGTGTGTGTGGTGTGTATGTGTGTGTGTGGTGTGTGTGTGTGTGGTGTGTGTGTGTGTGTGTGTGTGTGTTGTGTGTGTGTGGTGTTGTGTGTTGTGTGTGTGTGTGTGTGTGTGTGTGTGTTGTGTGTGTGTGTGTGTGTGTGTGTGTGTGTGTGTGTGTGTGTGTGTGTGTGTGTGTGTGTATGTGTGTGTGTGTGTGTGTGTGTGTGTTGTGTGTGTGTGTGTGTGTGTGTGTGTGTGTGTGTGTGTGTGTGTGTGTGTGGTGTGTGTGTGTGTGTAGTTGTGTGTGTGTGTGTGTGTGTGTGTGTGTTGTGTGTGTGTGTGTGTGTGTGTGTGTGTGTGTGTGTGTGTGTGTGTGTGTGTGTGTATGTGTGTGTGTGTGTGTGTGTGTGTGTGTGTGTGTGTGTGTGTGTGTGTGTGTGTGTTGTGTGTGTGTGTGTGTGTGTATCAAGGACTAGAATCCTGGCGGTCCGCCAGGAAGACAGCACCCTAGACTATTGCAAACATGGGTGTGAATCATGGATTTAAAACGTTGCAGCAAGGAGGAGACTGGTGACAGTGGAGATGTCATATAGGACTGAGGACGGGTTACTGAGGTGGTTTAAGGAATTTAGAGAGCATAGAGCAGAACAGGATAACCAGGAGGGTGGTGGGGGTTGTCCCATGAGAGGTTGGTGGGAGGGGGAGAAAGAGGTTTTGAGTGTTAGGAGCTTGAACATCCAGCAGGCTTGCGAGTGGAGACATATAAATTTTAAGGTTTGACGTGCTGTTGGAGTGTATAAAATAATAATAATAATTATTATAACTATTAATAAAAATATTAATAACGATAATAATAAGCTGACAGCCTGAGCTATAAGCAAGTGTTGTCAGCTATCATCTGACAGACTTGTCAACCACAGACAACAAAGTTTACCATTAATATCCATTAAATAAAGGCTTAACTACCCTACTAACATCATTATTCAACTCTACCGTCAATTAATCAATCTACAAAAATTACTGAGATGTGGAATTGAGTCTAGTTCATCAATCTGTGTCCTATTATTAACTGGGTGAGAAATATTGATTCCTGACACCCGTACGCAGCTTCATGTTCAGGTACGACACTAGTGGTTAATAGCGGGAAGAAATATCGTGGTACTGAGGGAAACGTTGTTTCTAGGTGGTAGGTTGGTAGACAGTAAGCAGGTGCCCATCCAGGTACCTAGTTACTCCTAGGTGTACAGTGACAGCAGGTGTAAAGTGACTAACACCCAGAAGTAGTAGTAGTAGTACTAGCAGTGGTAGTAGTAGTAGTAGTAGCAGTGGTAGTAGTAGTACTAGCAGTGGTAGTAGTAGTAGTACTAGCAGTGGTAGTAGTAGTACTAGCAGTGGTAGTAGTACTAGCAGTGGTAGTAGTAGTAGTACTAGCAGTGGTAGTAGTAGTACTAGCAGTGGTAGTAGTAGTAGTTGTACTAGCAGTGGTAGTAGTAGTACTAGCAGTGGTAGTAGTAGTACTAGCAGTGGTAGTAGTAGTAGTACTAGCAGTGGTAGTAGTAATAGCAGTGGTAGTAGTACTAGCAGTGGTAGTAGTAGTAGTACTAGCAGTGGTAGGAGTAGTAGTATAGAAGTGGTAGTA